ACCAATAAAAAAAAATACGCGTCGAATATTTTTTTAAGAACTACTATATCGGTGATTATCACTTTGGAATTTTCTCTTCTCGGTGAAACGAAGTTTCAAAGTAGAAATTAGTAGAACGACACAGCGTACTAAATTTGTTATTAAAAAAATCCATAAACGAAGTTCGTGTCGGTCCTTAAATTGCACAGATTAACGTTCGCAGGAAAGGAGTGTAAGTTTAGTGTTTGCCGGCAAATGCACGCGCTCGTATATTGTTAAATGGCTATTAAATAATTTACAATGTACTTAATACACGAATGATTTAATGAGCATTCATTCGCGTTAAATAATGGCGTTTGTGTCCGCTGACGGAATATAATCAATTTTGACAATTGTGCGAAATACTTGTTTCGAGTATTTCGCAGCTTCGAAATTGCTATTTTATTATCGCCGGTATTGTAATCAACAGTTCATTCAATTTTACAGCAAGGATTTAACGGGCGTCGAAAGTATCGTTTTAAATAAATCAAATTAATAATTTCTGTATACTGCATGTGAAGCAAAATCGTACCATACATGTACATCGAATTCATCAATTTCAACTGAACGTTATTGTACATTATCTTCTCTTCCAACTATTTCATAATTTTCACATCGTAGATACGTAGCGACCAGTTATTTACTATAGGAACTCAACAATAGGCAATATTCTGTCGTATTTCACTTCGTCACTTTGTAATCGTAAATTTTATCTTATTTCTTTTTTTTTTCTTCTTCGAAAGTTTACCACGTTTAATAGCGTAATATACTCCCGACAATTTGCCATTCGTCCAATTTTGATAAAACGCGCAAACGACGTTGACGGTCAGCTAGTGCAAATTCTGACGTTCCAACACACTCTCACTTTATTACCGCTAATAGATATATTGCCCGATAAGAGACAGGTATACGACCGCGTATTGTTATTATAAGGAGGGATCTATGGAAGCGATGAAGCTGTCATGTAGCAACTGAATGGTGGAGATATATGTGTACGCGATATGAGTCTAAGTAAACGCTTGAATATGAAAGCCAGTTCGGCTACAGTGTACACACACGGAAATTTTGATGGAGCAACGCTTGCTTAAACAATCTCTTTGGTACGTCAACAGATTTCGCCGGTATATTTGGATTCGGAATGGAGATATTTCCGGATGACAAATGATATTTCACCCGGTGAAAAATTACGTGTCCCGATTGTCTGCCGCGCACTTGTTAGCAATTCATTAAAATAATATCGAGTGGGAGGAATTTACAAGTGGAGATTAAATTTCTGCGATGTTTAGCTTTATTTCTATTTTTTTTTTTTTTTGGTCAATTTCCAATTTTCCGCGAAATTGATCGTGTCAAGTCGTGTAACGTGAAATGACAGATTTCGTCGATCGAGTAGTTACTTCGGTGTTGAAACGTTCTACATTTTTCACACAGTTCTTGGCACTTTGCTGTTGAAGTGTCTAAGGGTAATTTTGAAAAATTTTGATTTAAGAAACAATTTTTATTTCTCCTTAAAAAATCCAACATGTCATGTCACACGATCTAATACTTACAAGAAGTATCACATAAAATCTATAACACGTACTTTTACCTAAGCGTTCACAAATGGTAATTAAAAGTACCAAAATTTGACCATTTGTCAAAGCTCAGAAATCCTTCTCTTTACACGATTCAATATTTACAAAAAATATTGCATAAAATCTACGACAGATATTTTTACCCAAACACTCACAAATGGTAATCAAAAAGTACCAAAATTGGTCCGTTTGTCAAAGTTCAGAAATCCTTCTCTTTTATTTCTCTTTGAAAAATACAATCTGTCATATTACACGATCCAATATTTGCAAAAAATATTGCATAAAATCTACGACAGATATTTTTACCCAAACACTCACAAATGGTAATCAAAAAGTACCAAAATTGGTCCGTTTGTCAAAGTTCAGAAATCCTTCTCTTTTATTTCTCTTTGAAAAATACAATCTGTCATATTACACGATCCAATATTTGCAAAAAATATTGCATAAAATCTACGACACATATTTTTACCCAACCACTCAAAAATGGTAATCAAAAAGTACCAAACTTGGTCCGTTTGTCAAAGTTCACAAATCCTTCTCTTTTATTTCTCTTTGAAAAATACAATCTGTCATATTACACGATCCAATATTTGCAAAAAATATTCAATCACTCAATCAATCACTCATCAAACACTCAAAAATGGTAATCAAAAAGTACCAAAATTGGTCCATTTGTCAGAGTTCCGAAATCCTTCTCTCTACGCACGAAACGAGCTTCGAATTAATCACAATTCCGGAGAAAGAACTCATAAAATAGATCACGATCCCAGGGCTAGAAATCGAGTCGAAAACGTTGTTCGCCTTTCAAATTCGTGTAAATCAAGTTGTGTCAGCCAGCCGCTTGAGCGTGACATTCGATTCCGCAAACAAGCCGGAGAATCTGCCAATTTCGGCAGTCCACGATACTGTATCCCGTGGCTCGTAAATCCCCGCAAACGAGGTACAAAAATGGTCGAAGTTCACGCGACACCGACTCCACGGGGGCAACACTTCGCCCGTTTCAAGTATCTCGTGTATCGCGTGCTCGGGGGCAGCCACACGTGCGGCTCGATCGTTCGTTCGATGCACGAAGAGTCCGCTAGTCGCGAACGAAGAAGCCTGGTAAAGACAGAGCCGGGACAAGGGGGACGGTTTCCATCAAAAATTCAATCCGCACGAGTGTTCGTGTTTTTGGTGAAGGGTTCAGGTGAAAAAAAGAGGGGACTCGCGTCAAGCGTACGTTGCTCTTGAGCGAGGGGAAGAGGTGTTGGTTCTAGGAAAATGTGGAAAGCTTTCAATTTATTTACCCAGTAAAAAAGAAAAATAAATTGCAGAGAAGTACATTAGTTAGAAGATTTGATCCTAATTTGTTGGAATGAAATTCTAAGGTGTAATACATTTTGTTGGAACAACAGATTATCCCACGTTTGCGATATGATCGACACATCTGCTATTTTTCAGAGTTCGACAAATTCATTTTCTTAGCATGCACTTAATTTTACAGTCAGGAGAATCGCCGAACGTTTAATTGATTTCTAAACGCGTTTTTTACATTTTTCATTAAGGTACACCTTTTGATGAACCGACAAGTTTAAAGGGACTAGGACAGTCAGAATCTAGGTGATTAGATAAAAAGTTATATGACTCTGCTCTTGCACATACGTGACACATTTTTACATACATTAGTACGTAAAGTGAGAGTTTATGATGGAATATGCCTATTTATGTGATATTTCTACATGGACTTTAACGTACGTGCGATACTTGCAATTGGATCTTGCATAACGTGTGATACTTTCAATTGGACCTTGCATAACGCATCGTTAGAAATTCGAACTTACCTTCAGCACAGTAGTTAACGTTCCCATAAAACTGCGTTAGTAATTGAGGTGAAAATTATTCGCGTTATACGAGAGCCAACACATTTACGATATCAAGACGTAAGTAGAGGTACAACAGCCACCGTTAAAAAATTCCAGACGATTTCATTTCATTCCACGTCCCATTTCTCCATATGCAAATACACCATACATCAACTCCGCGAAGGAGGTCACGAGCACGAAATTTCTCCAAGACACCTGACAAAATCTCCCATCTAAATCTTCATGAAACATACGAAACTTAATAAAAACCAACATGTCGTATACAATGTCAAAAAACGGTATCTCCTTTCATCCATCGTGCAAGCTCAACTACAACTATCCACCTCGAAGGGGGAATAAGAAAACACGAGAACGATGCACCAGAGATTCGAAGGACAGAGAAACGTAGAAATAGAGAGAGAGAGGAAGGAGGAATTGGCGCGTTCGGTTTCTGAAGCATGTGTGGCCCATAAATAACATGTAAATATTTTCAATAACTGCACAGCCAGCCCCAGCATGAAAAATGCAAACCGCTTTGCGTCCGGTAGCTCGCCACCGCTATCGTGCCGCGTGCAACGTTTCCTCCAACCCCGTGCACAAGCCACTCCAGATCTGTGGCCACCCTCTCTGCCACCTTACTCGCGGCTCCTCCGTACTCCTCGGCAAACTATCTTTTAATATATCTGTATGTACACGGTGTCCCGCGTGAAATTTATGGCACCGGACGCCGGCCGATATTTGTTTCACTTGAGCGCTCCACTTCAGCCGCCCTCCTTCCGCCCCTTAAACCACGCTCTTGGTTATATGTTCGCCGCGAGTTCACCCCCGGGGAAGGAAAAAGAGCTGCTACACGGGACGAAATAATTTCGCGAATGCGATGTCGTGACTACTTTGCTCCGCCGTTTCTTCAACGGGACACGTTGCTTTTAATTCTGGGCGAGGGGTGTTGCTTCTCGAGGTTGAGAGGATAGAGTTAGAGGCTTGTAAGAGGGTAGTGAAAGTTCGAGTGGACGTTTTGGACGAAACTTTTTTAAATTGTATTTCATACGGGGGATGATACTTGGATTGTTTTGGGTCTGTTTTTTTTTTTAAGTTTTGCGTGTGTGGGAAGTGTAGGTTGGGTTGTTTAGTTTGCAGATGTTACAGGGTTGGGGGAGTGTTCGTGGTTTCTATTGCCGTGATTGCAATTTACGTACACCCACGTTCATGAGTATTGGGACTCTGATGAACTCCGATGTAATCTACCGAAATCTATTGTGTTCTACTGTCTATTGAAATCTATCGAAACCTACGGAAATCTACCAAATTCTATTGAAATGTAGTGAATTTTACCGAAATCTGTTAAATTTTACTAATATCCATTGAAATCTACACAAGTTTATCGAAATCTATTAAATTTTACTAATATCTATTGAATTCTACAGAATTCTACAGAAATTTATTACATTTTACTAATATCTATTGCAGATCTACATGTAACCGAAATCTATCAAATTTTACTAATATCTATTGAAATCTACTGAATATAAATTTTTACTGTATTACTGATTTAAATCATTTTGTGTTACAGGGGCTTTGGATTCATCACGTTCGCAGATCCCTCGAGTGTAGACAAAGTGCTGGCACAGGGTAATCACGAGTTAGACGGCAAGAAAGTAAGTACAGCAAATTTTTTCGTAACCTCTTTATCAAATACACCATTCCTCAAAATCCCATATTTCACATAAACAAAATATGTTTTTCATAACAGAAAACCTTCCAATTACTAAAACATTTTTTTACCTTTCCATATTTCCTTCGCTTTATTTACAAATAAACCATCTTACTCCGTATACTACTTGCAAAAAGAATTTTCCATTCACTTTCCATTTTAAACCTTGATAAACCTATCATATTTATTCAACTATTCCACGTTTACCGAAATCAACCCACACCACGAAAACCACTGCAAACTTAATAACACAGTGAAGTCTCAAGAAAAATTATTTCACCGTACATTCTCTCTCCATACAAAAAATAATCTAAGTTGACGTGAAGATCAAGTTCAGCGAGCACCGAAAACGGCGAGCATGACAAGTAACGTATCGAAAGAAGCATCGCGTGAAGCAAAGAACCAGCCACCGCCTTACGCTGCTTCCACACGAGCAACGCGGAATAATTATCGAACGCAGGGAAGTCGTTAAAACCGGCCCCGTCTTCGCGGTGGCGTTCAGTTACGCACTAATTAGGGGATCGTTAGTTCGCCGTAGGTAACGACCACTTAAGGTCATCGATATCCATTCGCGAAGCTGTGGAACGCGTGGTGCAACAGTGACAGGCGGGAAAAAGCGGTAACGAGTGAGAGAGAGAGAGAGAGAGAGCACGAAAGGTATATATACAGGTAAGAGAACGGTGAGTTGAAGAAAGATGCATCGATCGTTGGTCGTACGAAGACACGAGAAAAATCGGTTCGCACGAGCTTCGGTGAGCGAATGTGTGTCGCGGGAGCAATTAACTGCCGAGTTCTTGATCGAGATAATTAATACAGAACGGTCCAGGTTAATTGATCGCGCTGTTAGATAAATATTGCCCGTGTCTGGATTCCTGCGGCCGACATTTGTCTCGGTCTGGTGGCGCAAGAAATTGATTGGTTATTGGAGCTACGAGTTCGAGAGTAGTACGGATACCGCGAGATGGAACGTGTGCATGCAAGCAAATCTTGGTTGTTGCCGGGTGGAAAAATCATTTACCATAATGGAGTGGGAAGTTTATTAATTGCTGGATATCGTACGTATAGAAATACGTAGCAGATGTTTGTTATATTTCATCCCAACCCTCTTCAGCCATTCTCTCCTCCGGGAGCATTCAATTTTCCGATCACCGTGCACCGTGACTGATTGTAAATAATTCAGATAATGTAATTGGGTTTTACGAGGCTTATTAGGTGTAATGGGTAATGGATATATGCATGGTCGAAATTACATTTCTACCGAAAAGCAAATACTTCTGGAAATTTATCCAAATTGCCCGTCGCTGTAACGCAATAATAATTCCTACAAAATCGCGCGCAAATTAAAGGTATTAATTTCCACCGAATCCATAAAGATATGCAATTACGCGTAATACGTTCGATAATTACAGTTACCCTTCGGTGACACTCGCTACGATTAAACGTCGAATTCCTTTCCACCTGGGATCGCTGTAAATATTCTTCGACCGAAGCACAGTTCTTGAATCACCCAACGAACGAACGAACGAACATACACACGTTAACACCGGTTCTATCCCTTCGCCTTTCGTTACTCACTTCGCCGCAACGCGCAAACAAGCTTCCCTCCCCTCGGTTCGTGAGACTCGTCGCGAAACAAGTGATCCACAAAGCGGATCGGACGAATCAAACGAATTCCACAAATTCGCCGGTGAATCGTTCAGTGCCGGTACGTACGACCGGCCACGAAAGCGAACGTTCTACAGGCGTTTTCGACGCGGCGAACTTTCAGTGGCTCGTTTCACGCGCGCTTAGACAATTACGAGCAACGAATCGGGCAACGACGCGGCCCGTTGCTTCGCCGCATTGACCGGAACGATGCTTTTGGCAGAGATTAATCGTTTCACGTCGCGACGTGTCACAGGTTTGCCAAATATGTTTCTGTCACCCCCGGGGCCCATTCTCAGAAGACAATACGCCTGGAATAATATCGTAAGGGCGTACTTGTGGGAGGGGTGGAGAGGAAATATAGTAGCAGGCGGACAGAGAGAAATAGTTGCGGACATTAGCTGTCCACAGGAGCATAAGTACGACGACCATGCGGCCGGTTCCGTAAGTACTCCGAATACGTATTAACCGTGGCGTGCGCGCGGGCGCGAGCGGGGCGGCGCGTTGCTCTACCAGGGGGTATATCCAGACTCACATAAATTTCGCGTAATTCGCTCGCCTAATGCAAATTGCGAGCGCACTGCGCCGGAGTCTAACACCTCCTCGATAGTACACGAGGAACGAGATAGCAGCGTGCACGAGGCCGACCCTGCCGCATCCTATTAAGGTTTCTGTCGTTCCTACTACACCCTACCAGCTCTGCACCGGTGTCTTTATCTCCTGTCGCATCCGTTGCGTCCGTTTCTTTCTTGCGGTTTCCCTGTTAGTCGTTCGGTGGTAGAAATCGAGCCATGGTTAGAAAGTGAGGCGAATTCTTTTCGGAGGAATCATCTGTTTCGTGGTGATAATTTGACATGAAATTCTGTTGGAATTTCATTAGCTATTTTAACGTCATGGTTTTCAGTTGGAATGACGTGGTGATAGGTTAAGTGGAGTAGGAATGATTTATGCGATTGCGTAAGAGTGCAGCCTTTAAGATTCGAAGTGTCAATGCAAATTATAAATGAGAGAAATCCTTGAATTATCGTTGAAAGATTAAAGCACTAGTAGGAAATGGTCCTTGCTCTCTTTTCTTACTGTCTGTTGGTACGTAAGTGCGGTCAATCGTGGGGTTATTGGTTAAACATACTGAGAAAGTGAATTTTGTGTTAAGTTCTTTAATGTGTTTTATATGACGTGGATCTAGAATAAATGACTTAATTTGGTGTAAAAATTCTTTATTTCTTATATTGTGATTTAGAGTGTGTTATCAGTACGCAAAGGGGTAATTTTTATGTTTTCTCACCATAAAGTGAAAAAGGGAATTTTTGATTTCGGAGACACTAAACAAATGAATTTTTATTAACCTCGCTAAATTTCCTAAATTAGTACACAAATTCTTCGTTCCTTATATTATGACTTAACGTGTGTGTAATTTTTAAGAAATGAAATATCACCACAGAACAATTAAATTTTCATTAACCCTTCACCTCACAAAAGTTGCTTACCAATTCAAAACCAACGATCTCGAACATGTATCAATTTCCTTCAACTCTCGTACCTCCAGTCAGCGTCCCTTTCACCGCATCCTCCTCTTCCCGTTCGCCATTCTTCACGGTGCAAGACGAAGCAGAAAGCGAAGGAGGAGCGGCGGGCGAGAGAGCGCGCCTCGCTCTCGTCCACTGACAAGCTTCGTCACATTAATTAGCGGATCGTTCGTCTCCGGTTGCGTTAATGAACGCTCTCGTGTAATTCTGGAGAGGTCCTTGGCCCGCGTTGTGCGCGAGCGAAAATAAACGAAACAAAAGGGTGCGGGGGGAGGAGAGAAGGAGCGAGCGTGAGGTTCGGAGGCGCGGACCGGATGTCGCGACGAACGTTTCACCGTGGATCCTCCGTTTCTGCCTGGAAGCGTATCGACGCGTCGCGCATAAAATTCGTCACGGCACCGTCGTCGAGCGACGAGGAAGCCCCGCACTCGATCTCGAGGCAGAGCCAAGCAGACACCATCGTTCGCGCGATTACCTACTTCGCTGACTTCCATCCGTTTTATATTTCACTCGAGGACACTTTCCCCCGTTCGTTTCTTATTATCTTCGCCCCCACAGCACCGCCCGGCCTCTCGCTGAATTACGAAAATGATGAAGTGTCTGCTCACTCGACGACGATATGGGAAAATACGTAGCTGCGAGCAGACAACCGCTTTTTTTAGGGTGGAGCTGCTGGAACCAAACGGCGCGTATATGTCAAACTAGGGGTAGGATTCGTTTGCTTTTTTTCGATGCTGCGCTTAATCGCGGCATCAACGAGCAGATTATTGCTGCTGGGATTTACCGTTTGAATTTTGGTAGATTTTGGCAGAAATCACTATAAATTGTATTCTAAATATTGGAAAATTTTCAGAAAGATATTTCTATTGTACATTTTTTCATTTTTGTCGAGCGACTGGAAATTCCACCCTTTTAACCTTTTCAGAACAAATTATGGGAGCTCTTTCCATCGCAATCCTTTTTCATAAGAAAATTAATTTCCTGAATTATTTTTATCCTTGAAGTGACATTTTTTAATGAGAATACAAAGCGATAAGACTTATTTATTATTTTTAAAAGATATGAAATTCGTAAAGGGTAGAAAAGAGTTATTCCTCAAGTTTTACCATTACTTTTCGAATTTCCACTATGGCCCTGTAGCGACCAGCTACAGCGAAGAACATTTGGCGAGCAGACTACCAGCACGGTTTATGAGGAATTTTTTGAGGAAACCGTTTTTAGCTTATTTAATTTCTAGAAATTCGACAATGCATGTCCGCGTAGAAACTTTCTCCGACGGCCTCGTACGAGGCCCAGAGGCCCGGACCGGCAGGTCACGAGCATCTGACCTGGAGGAAACTCAGCTGTGTCGCCAAATGAAGTCACGGGAAAAACCTTCCCCGCCAAGTCGCACTGCGGTCCCCGAAAAAGCGCGCCAAGGGCGCAAGGGACACGCAGCGTCTCAGAAAGAAATTACCCGTCGCATCGGTGTTAACCAATCAGGGATGATTAACATGTAGCCGAAAGGCAGTAGAAAAAAGCGAGGCGACAGGAGGGCAATCTTGCACGGACCTCCAAAGCCGTCAGCCAACGTTTTATAAAGATCTCACTACTACTGTGTGGGTACATAGCGTAACCCTAGTCACGCCTTATTATTCGTAACTACATTACTTCAGCCCTTAACAAATTTCGAAAAGAAGACACCAACTTTACATTCAATCCAATTTCGCCACACTTTCGAACAGCCGTTGATTTCAAACGACTGAATGGATACCAAATGATAAACGATTATACG